GGGGTGGGGTAATTAAAAAACGGGGGGGGGGACCAAAATTGTTTTTGCCTTGGGCGGCAAAAATCCTAGAGTCGGCCCTGGTTGTTCACTCTTGGGACTAAGAGGGACCAGACATTAATCCAGGCTCTCCAAATCTTTCTGAACAAGTCTCTCATATTTCCAACTTGTAAGTACAGCCAGGCAAGGCGTGTTAGGTTTATCTTTGTTTTCGCAACTTGTAAATGTTCCTTTTGCTAGAGTGTTTATCTCTGTTTGCTGTAACTTTAAACCTAAGGCTAGAGGGGGGTCCTCTGGGCTCTTTAAGTTTGATTACCCTGTAAAGTTATTTTCCATCCTGATTTTACAGAGATGATTTTTACCTTTCTTTCTTTAATTAAAAGCCTTCTTTTTAAGAACCTGATTGATTTTTCCTTGTTTTAAGAACCAAGGGGATTGATCCGGACTCATCAGGAATTGGTAAAGGGGGGGGGGAATGATTAATTCCTCCTTGTTTTAAGATCCAAGGGTTTTTTGGATCAGTGTTCACCATAGAAAACTAAGTTCAGCTATATTTTCCAGTACAGTGATGAAATGGGTGTTTGTATATACAAACATCAACATGCTTAACTACTCACTTTCCCCCCAAATATGTAGTATTTCAGTCTGTTTCTATGGAATATGGGGGTTAGGTGAGGAGCCATTTCAGCATATGTATGACTTATTGAAAGACAAATTTTAAGTAGAACTGTATCCTAAACTGCATTATGGTATTGTACCCAAACATTGCATTTAAATGGGAGATTCAACTTTCTTTATAGGAACAGAACAGACTCCTGAAGCTCTTACCACAAATGTGGTCCATAGACATGCAAATAGTCCCATTGTCTTCAATGGGATTGATCAAATGATTAAGGGTTTACAGGATTAGGTCCCAAGTTTTTAAATTGTTCTAGATGAAACTGACAATGCCTGAGCTGTCGGATCACAAAGAGCTTCATTCGAATAGAGTTGGGCAGATGTGTGATAAGTCTTAGCTCCGTGGTTAAGATGAGGAACATATTTTCAGCAAAGTTCCTGGCAGATTCCTCAGGCAGCTGGTTTAAGGTCGTCATTATAATCTTCACTTATATTTCTCTCATCCACAAAGCTAGAAAATGAGGCATTTGTTTTCCTGCTCCAGTTCCAGTTAGCAAAATGCATGTTAGACTAGTTTGGCTGCACAGAAGAATTCTAGATACACTGGGGACAACCCCTGATTCCTGTCAGGCTGCAGAACTGGGCTGACATCAGAATCCAAACATCCTCTGCTCAGTGCAAGCAGAGGCATTCCTCTAATGATTTGGACTTGATGCGATGCAGTATGAATATCATGGATAATTCAGACCACTGGGGAGAAACAGAATCAAAAACACTGTTTAAACTCCTTCCATCCATCCCCCACCTCCTTCCCCTCTTGAGGACTCCTGACCAATTTAACAGCACAATACATATGCTAACAAACTTAAACAAAGCCATTGTTTAAGTTTGTTAACATATACATTGTGCTGTTAAAGCCATATAAAGAATGAATGCCCTCCCCCTCCCTGTTCTTCTCCTTTAAGGAGCAGAGCACAGCCCCACCCCCACCCCTCTGGAGGGCGGGGGGGGGTAGCCCGAAGTCTTTCTGGTACCCCATACCCTCTAAAAATCTCTTGCCGGTACTGGAGAGTACTGCCTTACTTGCACTATGGTTTATAAGACACCTCTTGGACTGAGTCCTCAGCAAACTCAGCCTCCCAGAGGTGGGTGTAGAGGGAAAGTATTATCTGGGTGAAGGGGAAGAGGAAGAACTCCAGTCACAGAATAATTGCTGCAGTGGTCTCTACAATTATTCATGTTGCTTTTTAGAGACAAAATTCCTTATTGATTATTCACCTTGCACTCAGTTCTGTCTGCTTGTCCCTCTGCTCTTGTGAGATCCCTGAGCAGTGAGATCTTGTGCGGGCACATTAGCCTGGTACTTGAGAATTCGGCAGTTTATTCCTGGCTCTACTACTAGTATGATGGGTGACCTTGGGCGAGAAACTTTCACTCCCTGTGTCTCAATTTATATGGCTATAAAATGGGGAAGATCACATTGACCTTCCTTTGTCATCAGGGCTTTGAGATGTACAAATGAAAACCCCAATACAAGAGCTAGGTAATTACTATTAATGTTTGAAAACTTCTTCTTGAAAAATTGAGATAGTACATCCATCTCTTTCTAGCAATTCTGGACTAGAAGACAGACTTATTAGTTATTATTATTCTATCAGCACCTTAAAATCAGTGGGAATTTGGGGGTCAGGATCCCCTCTGTTGTGAATGTCGTAGTCCGGGAAGCTCCATGGTGTGGGACGCTGCTCCGTCAGGCAGTGAGTGTTATCTCCCGGGTGAGAGGCAGTGTGCTCAGGTGCCGGCTCCGTTCCCTTTAGGGGTGGGCGACCCTTCACAGAGGTTGGTTTGTACAAGCTGGGAGGTGAGGTTGGGATATTGAAGGATCCTTAAGGTTGAGAGATAGCAGCTCACTGGATCTCTGCGTAGCACCATGGGGTATATAAGGCCAGGAGAAGATTTGTCCCATGTTACTGAATCAGAGAGAAATACTTAAACACCCGTTAATATTTGTATCCGCCAGAAGGGTTATTCACAGTGTAATGTACTAGTCAACATAGGGTCACTGTCAGCCACAATAGGAAACTCAGTTTTATTTTTCTCCTTGTGTGCTGCTCTCTATATTTCTTTCCCCCCAGTGTATGTTTTCTGAGGAGTGAGTGTAGTTATTTAAGATGGAATTTTCAGGGGTGGGTGTGTAGGATCTGATACATCCGGGGCGACAAGGGGACATGGCTGTTGCAAGGCTGTTGCACTTGCTATAAGTAATTAAGGCTCATTAGAGCAGGGACTTGAGTCCCATGAATCCCAGAGAGTGTCTTAACCACTGGGCTGTAGAATGAGTCACTTTCTTGCTCTCTCTGGCCCAGTACATATCACTAGCTAGGGTGACCAGACAGCAAGTGCGAAAAATCAAGACAGGGGATGGGAGTGGGGGTAATAGGAGCCTATATAAGAAAAGCACCCCCAAATCGGGACTGTCCCTAGAAAATCAGGACATCTGGTCACACTATCACCAGCTAGATACCTAGGGGATTTTGGTGCCTAGAGGGTGCAGGCTTTGAGGATCTCGGTGGCATGTCCGATTTAGTCATATACGGCGGCAGTTAGGTGCTGAATTCCCTTTGTGGTGGCTCTAGCCCTGAACACACATTGAAAGCCCCTGGCAGGTGGCTCTCTAGTGCTCCTAGGCTCCGTCTGGAATTCAACCCTATCTGCCCAGGCTGAGGGTCTGTAAAGCTCCTGAGGGACTATAATAGGAATGAGGTGTCCATATGGATTGGGCAGCTTGGCAAAACCTCAGCCTGGCTGTTAAAAAGGGGTTTAAAATACCGTGTGTTCATACACTTTCCTGTCGGTTCTTTCAACCTGGGATATTGGGAGGTGGAGGGGGGTGAGAAAAGGTGGGGAGGGGTGGAGTGAGGGGCACAGAGTGTATTGGGGGAAAGGGAAAGTTGCGGGCTGGTCTCTGCTAACAGTGCGGTTAGTCTGTGTCTGCATCTGTGTGTGTGAGAGTCACAGACAGGCAGCTGAGGACAGGAGTTTTCTCGCTCACTGTCTCTCCGCTGCGAGCTGTAGAACTCCAGCCCCCAGCGGAGAGTTTGTCCTTAGACAGCGAGGGCAGGTTTTTGTCTGAGCTCAGACCGGCTTCCCCTCACTGTGTGTGTGTGTCTCGCACACAGTAATACCGGGCGGTGTCCTCGGGCTTCAGGCCAGTCATGTCCAAATGCAGCAGGTTGTTGGAATTGTCCCTGGAGATGGTGAATCGGCCTTTCACTGAGTCTGCGTAATAATAGTGGTTCCATAAATCCCAATAAATGCTTGAGACCCACTCCAGCCCCTTCCCGGGAGCCTGTCGGACCCAGCTCATATCATAGCTGCTGAAGGTGAACCCAGAGGCTTTGCAGGAGAGGCGGAGAGAGTCTCCGGGCTTTTTCACATCCCCTCCGGACTCCACCAGCTGCACCTGGGACCGGACACCTGGGAATAGAAACACATTGTATTTTGTATTAATATTAAGAGCAATTAATAGACTGATCCCCTCCCACGCCAATGGTGAGAGGGGCTGAAATTACCTTCCAAAGCTGCTGTAAGGAACACTACATGGAGCCAAAACCTCATTTTCCCTGGACTTGGAGGGGAAAGTTCTCAGGGGACTGGCTGGTCACTGCACAGACCCAGGGGCTGCGGATTGTCTCTCCGGGTGCAGCCTGGGCAGAGAGAGGTACAGATTTAAACAGGAAACTGTCTCCCTCATTTGCATATCCCGCTCCTCATAAAACACACAAATGCCTTCTGTGGGTGCTCTCATTAGTTGCCCTCCAGCAGGGACGCCCAGAGGATTCATGGGGCTTGAGGCAAAGCAATTTCGGGGGCCCCTTCCAAAAAAAAAGTTGCAATACTCTAGTAACATGTATTTGGAAATGTAAAAAATAACCAGTGAAATACATTCAAAAATTAATGTATAATAATTTGAAAATACATGAAATACATTACTTAAAAACATGAAATGCTTTAATGGTATGATACATTTGCAATTACATAATGGGTTGTCGCTGGGTGATGGTGATGGTTGGTGCCAATGGGCTGTCGCTGCCTGAGGGTGGCGCTGCTGTTGCCCAGGGCTGGGTGGGGAGCTGGGCTCTGGGTCGGGGGGTGCCCGGCTCAGAGGGGCTGGGCTCAGAGCTGGGGGTCAGGGCTGTGGGGGATGGGGTCGGGGAGTGTCCGGCCCCGGCCCCTTACCATGCCGCTTACCCCCTCTCCTGGAGCCTCAGCGCTCCGCATCCAGGAGCAGCCCCGGACATCCCTGCAGCAGCGTCGTGTCTCCAGCAGGGCCTGAGTTCCCGCCACTCGGCCGCAGCTCGCAGCCCCGCCCCCTTACCAGCTGAGATGCCGGGGGATGGGGGAAGATGGAGGCGGGGGGAGCCTCCGACATACTCGTGGGGGCCCCTGCGGGGCCTGGGGAAAATTGCCCCACTTGCCCCCTCCTCTGGGCGGCCCTGATCATCATAAATATGTGAGACCCACTCGAGTCCCTTCCCAGGAGCTTGTCGGACCCAGTACATAGCGTAGCCGCTGAAGGTGAACCCGGAGGCTTTGCAGGAGAGGCGGAAAGAGTCTCCGAGCTTTTTAACATCCCATCCGGACTCCACCAGCTGGACCTGGGACCGGACACCTGGGAACAAAGAGACGATAGAAATATTAGTATCAAAATAGCAAATATACAGTATTTGTCTGGCTCTCCAGTGCATTTAGGTTAGAAAATACATTCAAAAGCAGCTACAATGAGAACTAAATGGAGCCAAAGTCTCATTGTCCCTGGTGTTGGAGGGGAAAGTTCTCAGGGGACTGGCTGGTAACTGCACAGACATGGGCGGGGGGGGGGGGGGAAAGATTCTCTCTCCGGTTGCTGTCTGGGAAGAGAGAGAGAGAAAGACTGATTAGAATAGAAAACTGCTACCCCTATTTACATATACCCCTCCTTATAAGACTAACAAACTCTTGCTCTGGGAGTCAGACAGAGAGAGGCAGTATGTTTGTACAGCGCCCCCGCTGCATAATGGGATCCTGAATATAGTTTGTCTAATAGAGAAATTAACTCCCACCTTGCCTGAGCTCATATATGCCTGTCTGGATTCCAAAGTCTTATCCACAGACTATTGTACTCATAGGAAAGGTACCCAGAGGTTTCAATGGGCTTTGGATCCGCCCTTTAGAGACGAGAGTCTTTGGCTAGCTGGAGAATAAGGCAGATGAAGATGCAAATCTCTGTGTACGCGGGGTCAGTGTTTTGTGAAAACCAATCTCCATTTCTCAGTCTGTATTCGCACCATAGCTACAGGCTGGGACTCTGAGTCAAGGGAACCTGGAAGAGTTTGGCTCCGGATAGGATTCTGGCCCCTAAATTCACAGGGTTTCTTTGAAAATCCCTGGCACAGTCACTAAATCATTCCCAATTTCCTTACCCATGGGGCATTTACTGTATGATCAGTGTCGCTGTCAAAAGTCTGGCCCTCCATTGTGGGCAAGCGAGTTGGCTTTGGGGTAAGAATCAGTGTGGGAAAGGCCCAGCCATCCTCACTAGAGGCAGATGCCCTGTCAGGTCACCCCTATGGACTCTAGAGGAGAATGAGGAGCCCAGGGCAGCAGCCACCAGCCAAAGATCTCAGCCCTGCTTGCTCTGACCCCATTGACCCCTGGCTCCTCACCAATGGGATCGGCTCCTATCTGTGCAGGGGTCTCTCCCTGAGCTTTTCCAATCAACTCTCCTGGTCTCTGCCCTAGAAATCACATAACTAGCCTCGGTGCCAGCACTGGGCAGATTCAGATGAGGATGGGCTGTGGATGGGTTATTTCTCCTTCTGAAAATAATTTTGCATTGTGGATATAGGTTGTGGGCCACATACTGAGCTCCCCCCATTCACACTAGCTGAGGGGCTGGGCTTGGATTTCCAAATGGACGGGGGGCACCTTAACTCATGGGTATGCTTGGAAAATCCCAGCTCTCTCCCATATCTCCAGCTGTAGCTGATTGTGGTTTGCTCAGGCATTGAGCTGTCTCTGTACGGAGCCGGCCGTGAAGCCAGCGGTGACATTGCCAGTGAATTATAGGGTTAAAGGCCCATGGCAGATTTTTGATTCATCCTGATGCCTTTACTCATGCCAGTGCCCAGAGATGCAGGGTCACTGCTGTCCCCACAGGCTCACGGGAGATGGTGCAGCCAAGGTGTCAAGGCTGCTTCCCCACTCTGAACTTTAGGGTACAGATGTGGGGGCCTGCATGAAAACTTCTAAGCTTAATTACCAGCTTAGATCTGGACTGCTGCCACTACTCTCAATGCTAATTCCCTTCCCTGGGTAGCCTTGAGAGACTCTTCACCAATTCCCTGGTGAATACAGATCCAACCCCCTTGGATTTTAAAACAAGGAGAAATTAACCATCCCCCCCTCCTCCCTTCCACCAACTCCTGGTGGATCAAGATCCAACCCCATTGGATCTAAAAACAAGGAAAATCAATCAGGTTCTGAAAAAGAAGGCTTTTAATTAAAGAAAAAGGTAAAAATCATCTCTGTAAAATTAGGATGGAAAATAACTTTACAGGGTAATCAAACTTAAAGAGCCCAGAGGACCCCCTCTAGCCTTAGGTTCAAAGTTACAGCAAACAGAGGTAAACACCCTAGTAAAAGGTACATTTACAAGTTGAGAAAACAAAGGTAAATTAACACACCTTGCCTGGCTGTTTACTTACAAGTTTGAAATATGAGAGACTTGTTCAGAAAGATGTGGAGAGCCTGGATTGATGTCTGGTCCCTCTTAGTCCCAAGAGCGAACAACCCCCAAAACAAAGAGCACAAACAAAAGCCTTCCCCCCACCAAGATTTGAAAGTATCTTGTCCCCTTATTGGTCCTTTGGGTCAGGTGTCAGCCAGGTTACCCGAGATTCTTAACCCTTTACAGGTAAAAGGATTTTGGAATCTCTGGCCAGGAGGGATTTTATAGTACTGTACACAGGAGAGCTGTTACCCTTCCCTTTATAGTTATGACACAAGGTTTCTGCACTACTATTACGTTTTGGTTCACTGTGTGTCTGGCATGGTAATACTGGGCAGTGTTTGGGTTTCAGGCTGTTCATTTGCAGACAAGCCGAGCTGACAGGTGTCTCGGGAGATGGTGAATCAGCCTTGAACAGCCAGGAAATACCATTGTTTGGAGCCACTTGGCTGATTGACCGTAGCGACCGACTCCAGCCCCTTCCTGGGAGCCTGTCGGACCCAGCTCATCCTGTGGTTGCTGAAGGTGAACCTCATGCTGGATTGTTTGTGGACGTGCTGCCCCCACGTGGCTGCCGGGAGAAGGGCGATTCCGCAGCCTGGGTTTTTGTATGATCACAAATTGGTTTTGTTTCACTGTGTCTCTCGCACAGTAATAGCGGGCGGTGTCCTCGGGCTTCAGGCCGGTCATTTGCAGATACAGCTCACTCTTGGAATTATCCCTGGAGATGGTGAATCGGCCTTTCACTGAATCAGGGTAATAAGCAGTACCCCCACCGGTGTTTATATAAGCGACCCATTCCAGTCCCTTGCTAGGAGCCTGGCGGACCCAGTTCATCCAGTAGCTGCTGAAGGTGAACCCGGAGGCTTTGCAGGAGAGGCGGAGAGAGTCTCCAGGCTTTTTCACATCCCCTCCGGACTCCACCAGCTGCACCTGGGACCGGACACCTGAGAATAAAGACAGGCCATTAATATCGGTATAAAAACAGTGATAACACAATATCCTTCTAACTCTGCCAGTTATTCAAAGGAGGAAAATACCTTCCAAAGCTGCTACAGTGACTATTACAAGGAGGAAAAATCCCATTTTCCCGGGTGCTGGAGGGGAAAGTTTTCAGGGGACTGGCTGGTCACTGCACAGACCCAGGGCCTGCAGATTGTGTCTCCGGGTGCAGCCTGGGCAGAGAGAGGCACAGATTTAAACAGGAAACCGTCTCCCTCATTTGCATACCCTGCGTTATAAGAGACACTCACTCCTGCTGCCAGTGATCTGACTGACTCGCCCTAGGGCTCCGGGTGCGGGAGTCAGACTGTCCCGGCCTGTGTGTCTGTGCAGCGCCGGGCACAGGGCGCTGGGTCCTCCTGACACTTTCGGACCCCTGGGAGGAATGACCAGCTCCCTGCAGTGACTGTATTTCCTCACCCAGGAACTGAGGGCCTGGCTATTGTGAGGTGATGTTGGGGATTGGGGGGACTCAGCTCTGGAGCCCCGTTCCACGCGCACAAGGGCCATGCAACGTCCGGTCAGGGGGTCAGTGTCTGGGGAGGGGTCGTGCTTTAGATTGGGTCTGGGGCAGAGCCGTAACAAGGTATTTTTGTGCCTGAGGCAAAAATATAAAATTGCGCCCTTCCCCAGGGCCGGCACTTCGGTGGCAATTTGGCAGTGGGTCCCTCAGTCCCTCTCAGAGGGAAGGGCCTGCCGCCGAATTGCCGCCGAAGAATGAATGAAGCAGCGGCGGTAGAGCCTGTGATTTGGGGGGTCTAACTCATGATTTTTGACTACTTGGGCTGGTAATGTTGCTTCCAAGATGGTCTTTGGTTCCAGTCCAGTTCCAATCCAGAGAGGGACTCACAGGTTAAGGGAGGAGGGAGGTGCTGGATATCAGCAGTGGCCACTAGGGATCAGCATGTCCCCTGAGAATGCTGGGAGTTCAGGTTTGCAGGGCAGGATCAGGGGTGACAGGTTTGTAGAAATGTTGGTGGTGCCCAGAACCCGCCCCCACCCAAACTCTGCCCATCCAAACACCTCCCCCCCACCCGCCCAAGGCTCTGGGAGGGAGTTTGGGTGAGGGAGGAGGTCTGGGGTGCAGGCCCTAGGCTGGGGCAGGGGATTGGGGTGCAGGCTCTGGGAGGGAGTTTGGGGATG